TGGGTTGGACTGAAAGGGTACACACCTGGGCCCCCCCCCCAACCAACCTGCTTTCTGTTGCCCAAGCTACAGCCTCATGTCCTGGGACTGGTGGACACCCCGTTCACCCCACCCCCTTCCCTCCTGGTGCAGCCCTGCTCCATGTTGTTGGTTGTGCCGGGTGTACTGTGAGCAGTGGGTGCATTAGCAATTGCCTTAGGGAGCTCCCATCTGCTCCCCCAGGGCAGGGGCTCAGGAAACGAGTGATTTCTCAAGAGGAAAGTATGTGGGGGGTGGGAGGATCTTTCAAATGTGAAGGGGAAAGAGGGTCCCTGTTTGACAAACTCAAGCAAAACCAGCAGCTTTTAGCCCACAGTGAGCAGCAGCCCACACCAAAGGCAGCTGTGTGATTTCTTCGGTACAGAGAATTACAAAGCTGCAACCAGTGAGTAAAGAATAAAATTACTGAAGTGCAATGAGCTCCTTAGAAGAAGGTGGGAACACCCTCCAGCTGCAGTCCTGGCCTTACCCAGCCATGGGTCCTTACCCTGGGCCAGCCACCCTGGTAGTTGCTGGCAGAGGGATGCCAGCGCCTGTTACTGATGCAGCCCTGGCCCAGGGCTGATGGGGAAAGGCCAAGCTCACAGCTGCTCCCTTTCACCTTTACCCACCCCCCCCTTTACTTGTGAAACCTTGTAGGAATTAAAGTACATTAAATCTGCCCACCCTACTTGAAATTAGCTGATGGGCTCAGCAGCCCTCAAGGAGCCCAGATGCTACAGACCCATGAGTCTCACCTCCCCAGGAAAGCAGCTAACATGCCCCAGCCCCTCTGCACAAGGGGATTCTGCCAGGAGAGCGAGTGCTAACCCTGTGCCCTGGGGCAGTGGGGAAGATGGTGCCTCATCCCAGGAAATAGTAGAAAGTCTTTCCCCAAGCAGTGCCCAGAGCAGGCTAGCCCAGTTCTCTGCTTTCTTACTATTATTTGTTTGAATAATAGTTCAATAGTTCTTTGTCGGAAGAGGTATTCCCCAGACGTACATTTTTGCACCCATTGGGAAAAAACAAAGTCTGATGTTCTGCCTCTACTTTGAATGTAATCCTGAATCTTTCTGCTGTAACCACTACTTGTTTGTAATTTGTATTTGACTAGCACGCACTCTCCCTTCCACTATGCAGCAAACAGTGCAGGGTGATCAGCACCATCGGAGATAGATGGTGTTGGGGCATCGGATCCAGAGCAAGTATTCAACTGGAAAAGGATAAAAGTGACAAGTTAATGGGGGAGAGAATGGATCTTTAAATTGAATTATTTTTTCAGTTACAAATATTTGAAAAAAAATCCATTTTATTAAAAAAATTTCAAACAGCTATGTGCTCAAAAAACGTCTCTGCTATGCTGTGGGTCTTTCTCAAACCTGAAAAAAAAAGAACCTTGAGTGGCAGTACCTCATCCCTTCCTGTCTGGAGGGAGATTCCCTCTGTGTACAGAAATTACCTACCCTGCAACCAGAAGGACGTCTAACGGTAGAAGCATGGGCAGCTTTTGCAGCCTCCTGCAGCTCAGTAGGCTGGTCTGGACCCCAGCTGTTCTAATGCCGTGACGCTGCAGCCCTTCTTGGCCAGATGCCAAACTGAAATTACTGACACCACTCATTTTCACATCAGTAAATATACTATAACTCCCACCCTTCCCCTGAGCTTGGGCTTCTGAACGCAGTTCCCCTGGGGCCTGTGCCCTGTTACTGTTCCACTTTGCAGATGAGACTGCACCTGCTTTTTCTGGAGAAGCCAGCACTGCTCTCCACCGCTGCCCAGCCCCTCTCCCTCTGCTGCGGGCCCTCCTCCTGTCGTGTCTCTACACCCCCGAGTTTTGAGTATTTCTTGCTTTTCTGGGGTGCTGCTGCAGATCTGCACTTCAGGGAGGGTTGGCAGCACAATGCTTCTGTGCCTGCTGCTGCCTGCCCCTGGGGCAAAATTAAGAATTAAATC